GTAGCAGAAGAGACCTAACCCAGCAGGGGAAAACACTGGCAATCATCCAGTGCATCCCTAATTGGTCCATTTTCAATTCTGCTTCTGATTGGTCTATTTCAGGAGAAAATAGACCAATCAGCTCAACTTTCAGCTCTTTGGACAACTGCCCCTATATAAACCCCTGAGTAGAGAGCCTAGGGGCAGATGTTGCAGACCTTGGAGGGAGAGAGCAGGAGAGCAAAGACCTCAGCAGCCACAGACCATCACAGGAGAAAGAGAAGAGGAAGAACTGTAACACTTGGATCCTGCTCTGTAAGGAAGTTTGGCTCTTTGTAAGAGCTATAACACTTATATCCTGCCCTGCAAGGAGGTTTGGCTCTTTGTAAGGACTGTGACACTTTAAAACCTATCTTATCCTGCTCTGCAAGGCTTGGCTCCTTGTAAGAGCTGTAATAATACCTCTGTAAATAAAACCTAACTTCCATCCTGTGGTCTGTCGATTCATTCATCAAATCATGGAGACCAAGAGCCTGGAACTCCAATATCAAAAGTCCGGTATCAGATTTGGTGAGCCAGCAAGTTTGGAGAAAAAATGAGGACAGAAAGCATCTGTGGTAAGGAATGGGACTGCTTACCTCTGTCCTAATTTTCTCTATCATGATCCTACTGGAGATTGCCCACCAGCCTGAAAATATGTGTAGTATGAATGCTGACTTCCAGGTCACAGGCAAGAGGAGCAAACTTTCTGATTCTCCTTGGTTTCAGAAAGAAGGCAAAGGGAACCTGATCCTGTCCTCTGTTTATTTCTTTTTCCTGGTTGAGATCAGAGTAAGGAGGTAGCACCCAGAGGCCTGGGGTCCCCAGCAATGGCTCTGACCCCAGGACTTGGGAGGGCCTCTGAAAACTTGTGCTCTCCCAGCTCTTATTATCTTCTCTTCTCTTTGATGGTCCCAAATGTTTCCTAGTTATCTCTATAGATCCCTGCAGCTTCTCTCTCTCTCTTTCCTTACAGTTTACATACTTTGTTTAAATGTTGGTAAAGGATTACTTTATGTATTTAGTTGGGTTTGTTACTGGTTAATTCTGGTATTTTTCAGATGTTTTAAGTGTTTCAAATGTTGTAGGTGTGTTATAAGATCCTTTTTATTGCCTTGCATTGCAGGACTAAAATAAATTGGCTTATTATGTGTCTGAGAAAAAAAACTGACCTTATTAGAGAAAGTCAGCCCCAAACTAAGGGTGAAATGACTCCCCTGCACAGTTTGGGCAACCAGAGGCCTGTGAAGGGAAGCCCAAAATGACTCCCCAAGACGGGACTGGCCCTGAACTTTGGCTACCATTCATGACCCTGAATATTTGATTTCTTCTAGTGTGGAGAAATTTAAAATAACTTTAGGTTTCTCTAGGACTTCTGCTAAGTGCAAGTAATCGTGATACAAAGTTTCAAAGGGTCTCTCAACTCAGCCCTGATTTGTATGGTTACCTTGCTAATTTAACACCAAGCCCTGCTCAGGCCAGAAGGCCTATTTTCCTTTTTGTTACAGGGAATTTAGTAAAAGCTTGCATGGATTTTATAGCGTTAAATGTGCAACATCACACAACCATTTTCTCCAGGATGGGGCTTATCCCCACTTTGATTGATACTCCGAGGCTAGTGGGGGGAAGGGGCAGAAAAGGGGGAGGCAGTAATACATGTATCAGGTGGGACCAGGCTCCCTGGACCTGATTTCTCAGAGCTGTGCTGTCTGCATGAAATAAGCACGGGAGACCTAGCGGGCACAAAGTGCTACACTGGTAAGAGTGGCTAATTCCAGACACGTGTAAGGGCTGAAGAGGCCGATCTCCTCAGGGTTTCTTCCCCAAGCATTGGAGGGACACTTCCTTTTGTTTGGTTGGAAAGCTTCTT